TGCCGTCAAAGTTGGCCAGGTTGGCAACAGGAAGTAAGCGCTGCATGGCGACTTTGATCTGATTTGAAATTTTCATGTTTTGGTCAACACGTGTTACGCCTGCACGCGACGCGCCCGCAGCATGCCCTGAGTTGCGTGGAGTGCGAGGGCCCGCTCATCGCTGCTTTAATTAATTAATTTATTTATTTTTATAGAATGGGTATCCCACTTATCCCAGGGTTGGTGGTTCGATCCCCACTTCCTCTAGTCAGTATGTCGAAGTGTCCTGAACCCCAAATTGCTAGTGATGGTCAGGCCAGCAGCCTGCGTAGTAGCCCACTTTGTGCCATATAAACTGTTAAAACTGAACAAATCCTCCAAATAAATGACAATAGTTGTGGGGTGTATTGCTGATATTATTATTATTATTATTGGTAGTAGTGGTAGTAGTAGTAGTAATAGTAATAGTATTAGTTCCCTATCATTTCTTGGCGTTTGTTATCATCATCATCATCATCATTAGTTATTGTAACTAGTATAGTTGTTGCTGTTGTTGTTGCTGTGCACCTTTGTCTCTGTCTTTGGCCTTCTCTCTTTATCACCCATCCCCTCTTCCCTTTTTTTCCTCTATCCCCCCACCCCTCTCTCACTCTCCCTTTCTCTCTAACCCCAACTGGTTGAGGCCACCCACCTAGAGCCTCCTAGAGTTGGAGGTTTCTGCCTCTTAAAAGGAAGTTTTTCCTTGCCACTGTTTCCAAGTGCTTGCTCATGGTTGGAACTGTTCGGTCTCTATCAATAATTTATAAGGAGTACGGTCTATACCTGCTCTATTTGAAGTGTTTTAAGTGTCCTGAGATAACTTTTGTTATTATTGGCGCTATACAAATAAAATCTAATTGAATTGAATTGAGGTAGTTCTTTGACTGTGCTATGACACCATTGTAGTTTACAACTATTAACCCCAGCATTGAACCACTGTCACAAGTCAGAATCCACCTCAAATCCTTTCACCACTGAACATATTCTAAAAATTCTTCTCCGTACTAAAAGCACATGTAGTTGCTAATCCAGGTTGCTTTGGTTATGCATTGACTGAGGAATAATTATAAAATGAATATGTTGTATTAATCAACATTGTTTTGAGTCATTCGTCACCTTTGTTTCAAACGTGACTATAGTTGTGAGCTTAGTAAATGTAGAATTCATTGTTCCTTTTTCTTTAAAGGGCCAGTATGTAACATTTAGGAGGATCCATTGGAAGAAATGGAATATGATGTTTATACATATATTTTCATTAGTGTATAATAAAAATAAGAATTGTTGTTTTCTTTATCTTATGATGAGACATCATTATTATCTACAGAAGGAGGTCCTTTTCTATGGATCATGTTTCTACAGTATCCTAGAACAGATGAACCAAACTCTGGCTGTAGATAGTGCCTCTTGCAAGTTGCTACCGTAGCACGGTTGAAAGGCTGAGCTTTATTTAAATGGTTGCAATCTTCATCTTCACTGCTGGATGCGAGTGAATGCACTGGTTCTTTGAAATGTTTTTCTTCTTTTCTTCTTTCAATTATGTCCATGTGCTAATTTACAATGTTAAACTGTACAAAAATGTACTGTAGAAATTAGCTTCACGGAGCATCATGCGCTCATTGTATTTGTTTGACAGTCACCTCTTCTAGTTAAGTATCTGACACCAACAGTGCTCTGTTGCCTTTCTCTTGCTCTACCTTTTTTATGTATTTTGTTCTCTAATTTTAAGTCTCATCTTTCTCAGTGATGAACCTTTCTCTAATACTGTAATTTTGGCCCATTTTATTCATTGTGTGTGCAGTATTCCAGTTACTGCCACCGGATGATGCTAAAACTGTGTAGCATTTGTCTCCGTGCAAACACAGCCTACAGGATTCTGTAATCTTCTTACAATAATCTAATTTATGAATCAGGTTCTTTTTCAGCTCTGTGTAGAATTTCCTTTGGTAAAATCTGACAATAAAGTGATTCTTGCTGAGTTACAGTATTGAGCCCTCAGTTCGTTCCAACAAGTGTAAACTTGTGTGGTCAAGTTTTCAGGCACTTAATGCCATTATTGTGACAGCACCCATTACCCATACATCCCAAGTGGCTTCTTTAGAACTGAAGTACTCTGCATGTGTTAAAGATTTTTTAAGCCATCCTTTCATCTTTTATTTCACCTTATTTCCCTCCCTCCTCTGTTGTGCATTTTATCCCTTTTCCGTTACAGTTTGTGTTCTTTACAGCTGCCTCTCCTCTCCACGCCATCGTAGATGTTCATACCTAAAAGCTGTGTTAGCGAGATTTCCAGAAACATGCATGCCACAAATGTACCTCTTGACGCATTGAGACACACTGACACAGAAAGGCACATATAATGCGCACAATGTACAATTGGTTCTTTGTGTCATGGCTAGTTGAAAGCTGCTACCTAAACAGGAAGGAGGAGGTTGAGTGATAACAGGCAAAATTGAGTGAACAAAATATTGAGCTGGGCTGAGACTGTTGGATAAATGTTTTAATTTAAATGTTTTATTTAAAAAACAAAAACCTATTACCTTAAAATCTATTAAGTATCATCTAAAGCGTGTGGTGTGTAGAACATTAAAGACATTAAAAGGAAAGGGGCATAGAGAGAGAAAGAGAGGGAGTGGAAAAGGGAAAATAAGGAGAGATGGAAGATACAGGGACAAAGAAGAGAATGAAGGATTTAGAAGAGACTGGGAACTTGGAATCAATGGCCTCATTGTTAAGAAAAGTTGACCTTCCCTACCTCCCCGCCTACACTAGACCTTCACCCCTCCCTCACTGAAACGCTCTTAATAAAAAACTCACTGAAACACATTTGAACAGCAATAGTTTTCTTTATCTTGCCATTCTTCTTGGATATGATCGTTAGGTTTTTATTTTATTTTATGTTTTAATAATAATACAATTTGTTCTTTCATGCCAAGAGCATCTTTAGTTTCCATCCAAACATGGAGCTTTTAAGTTGTAACCAAATTTACAGGTATTCTGCCAAAGAAAATACAAATGAATGCAGATTTATTACTGTCAGTGTTGGAAGTAACGTGTGACAAAGTAAAAGTACTATTTTTGGTGATAACCGATAATGTGACTAATTACATTTTTAAAATAATACAATATGATTTAGTGATTGTGATATTTTGACAGATATTGTGATTGTAATATGATTCATAATTAGTGTGTGAATGATAATTGTTGCATAACAATTATTAATTTCACTGAAAAAACTATTGAGGGTCTGTACCAAACAAACTTGTTTTCTTAAATCTGGATCTACAAGATTTGTAGAACTATTTCATCATATTGCTGTTTGTCACACATTTTACCCTAATTAAAATTACTGAAATTGAAATAGGTTTGTTACAGAAGAAAGTTCAGACAATGTCCGTTTGCTTTCCATTCATTTAATTAAATTATTTATTAACTAACTACTGTAGCAAAGCTAGGTTAATGTTTACATCTTCTACCAAATCCTCCTTTTTACTAACTAAGACAATAAGTGTAGTTTACAGGTAGGAATTTCAGATGTTGCTGCCCTCAGGTGGCCAAACAGAGAAAAATGTTACGCTCCCTTTGCCTGTGTTGCTATCGCAGCCACTCTGTGTTTTGTTTATAAAGACAGTCTGGCCGTGCGTGCGTGTATCTTAATGTGTGTCATTCCGTGTACACTTGTGGAGAGCGACTGATTTTCCATATTTCAACCAAACCAGAGTTAGTGAACAGTGGAAATCTAACAAAGATGGTTTTGGTCAGTTTTATTTTCTTTTTGTCCAGTTTGAATAAAGTTATGATGTCATAATGGTATGTGAGGTACAGTTACCGTTTTTTTCAATGGAGTCTGGTGGCAAGATATTACAGCTGTTTTTTAAAGCTCTATCTCTGTAGGGATCCTTTATATAATGTTATCAGACACTTGAAATAACAATCTGAGCCTGTTAGTGGCAAAAACAACAACTTTTAGAGGACAGACTTTGACAGGCGCATTTGTCCCCAAGGATTAGCTAACATCACATGGCACCTATAGCAGCCCCCTTTGTGGCTATTTTCTTATCTATCT